CATTAAATGGCAAAATAAAAAGCTTCTCTAGGATTGCGTAAACCTGACGGACTTCTAGGTTAAGAATGCTCTCAAGTGTTGGTGTTTATTATTTATCTTTTGAAAGATGCTTTGTTTATTTACTTCCCTGTTTATTAAAAAAGGTAGGAAACAACAAAAGAAAAATTATTGTACCATTTTCATAAAAATTATATACATAATCCTGAAAGTGCCATAAGTCGATGTAAAGTCTAGTACATTTCCAAAAGAACTACCCTGCTATGAAAACATCTTCTTAAAGTAAAAAAGCCTGATGCAGTCTTAATTGTATTGCAGTAGCTTATTCAACTACTTAATCAACAATACGCGTTCTTATCAATTGCGTAGCGCCGTATTTTATAGATAAAGACAGTTTTCAAAAGCGACATCTTTCACCCTTTTTCTCATTGAATATTTTTCTTTAAATGAATGAATTCAACAAAAATAGATCAGTCACGTTATTTAAAATATTATTTCACATAAGCCGATTATAACCAAAATGAAAGTAGAATTTGAAAAGTTTCTCAGATGACATTGTCCAAACATGAAATATTATTCAAGTATATATTTGAATTATGAGATTTGTATTCTTCACCGGTAGGTAAAATCTATATTTTCATTCAGTAACAACACAAATAAAAAGTCATTTTTCTCGCTAACAGAAGATGAGTTGCTTTTCTACTATATCTGTACATCTTTCATCACTTTAAAGTTGGCAAGCGCAGTGATTTGCGATGAGCGAATCCTTGAATTTTTAATTTTCTATATTTCATTAGAGATTTTGCTGTAATTTGTAGTCGCGGAAAAATATATGCTCAATCCTTTTTTTGTGCTTTATAGAGATTCAAAACAAACCTGACCTCGCTACTGTCTGAATTGAATACAGCATATAAGTTCAAAAAACTTTTGTATTCTCGAGCTGTTCACTTACCGTAGAAGCAGTGTTACCGATTTCCACTAAAATTTTAGTATCCGTTGATCAAAAAAGCAATCCCAATCCCTGATTGAGCGCCGCAGTTTCACATTAAAGCATACGACAGCTAATTGATAAAAGAGCAAGGTGTTCGTTATTATATTTTGAGCATTTTGCAGCAGGGAATTCCTGGTTGTTTCTGGTATTCTGCATTTTTCGAACACGGGACGGAAGAATACCCGGCATGCCGTTACTCATGTAGAGTGGTGACAAGTGTCAGTTTTAATAGCTCGAGATCCTTCCTACAGGTAACAAACTTTCGACATGGTCATCAACAACGTATCTAGGATTTTTTCAAGAGGAGTCAACAATTTGTTTTTTCGTTTCTTCAGTGACTTTTCTGAAAAAAGTTTTGCTCTAAGTCTCTCATCTTTTCGTAGTTGAGATTTAGATTGGTCGCTCCCCAGGTCGAATTCGTCCGATCGGATCCTTTTGATTCCGGTGATTCCCGGAGATCGGATCCACAGATAGGAATCTGCTCAATTCCTTCGCGTTCCGATATTTTGTCCCTGGAGCATCCGATATTCGGAACCAGTCGGATCCGTTAATTTCCGGTGAGCGAGAATAGACGGATCCTGTGATGTGCACTCTGCTTTTTTTCTTTCTTTTCTGTGCGCATAATATATTCACCTTTTTGTTTCACGACAGGAGCACTTTAAATACGACATTAGAGAAAATGAAAAATGAGAAGTTGCCCTTCTCAAATTCTTAACGGTGTGAGTCATCGCTCACACTGTTCAACGGACGTGTTGTACACGTCCCAGTTAGTGGGGTCTTCCACTCTCTCGAATAAACAGAGAGAAGAGCTAGAGCTGTAGTAGCTCTTCTCTAAAAATTTAAGGCTATTTTTAACCTCAAAACTGGTCACATTCTGCCACATCCAGCAAAATCAGGTACATCGGTCGGAAGATGTCGGATCTTCTGGCACGGTTGCTGCCGGATTTTACCGAATTCCGACAACTTCCTATGTTGGATCCGGCATGTTCTGTCAGGATCCTGACGCCGGAATCAACGATCTGGGTCATTTCTGGTAGCTACCAAGAAAACGCGTCATGTGAGCAAACAAACGCGTTTAGACGGGCGTTAACTCTAAAAAACTATCACCTGGAGGATCTCTGAGCACATGCAGGATGGGTCGCTGTTCTAGAAGCGATTAAAAAATTGTATAAACTTTTAGCTGGCCTAAAAATGCTGAATTGAAGGTTTTTAATTCGATAAACATTTAACTCATTTTTTAAATTGTAATTAATTATCTGTCAATTTTATCTGTAACTTTCTTATCACGAAACTTTTGTTTTTATTTCCCCAATGCCTCTCTTATGTATTTTTTTTGAGTTCTTGATTCTTTTTCATGTTTTTTTTGAATGATAATAAATGATTCTTTTACTTATTTCACAATGGAACAATAGAAAAATAAGACAGAGTACCGTTCTTTGACATATATAAAAGATTGTACTTGTAGAAGGGAAATAAGACACAGAAAGTTAAAAAATGTATGAGTATGCATGCATACAGAATGAATGAAGATTGTACTACAAAAGTATCACATACGTATAAAACTAAGTTGTTTTTTACTGTCCCCAACTGCTCAGTTCTTATCCTACGACTTACAAACTGTCATCAACTACAATTCTAGCCAGAAGACCGATCTGATGCAAAGTTCTGTCACTCAGTTGCTCGAGCTCCTCACACACACTCAGTAACCACGTACTTGCTTCCAAAAAAGCCGTGAAAACTAAGCGGAGAAACTATATTGTATGTCATAATGCAGTTGGAATGCTATAGGACGGGCGATCTCAGGCACATCAACATAGATAGTCCAAGGTTTTTCCATTACTTGTAGGCGCTTCGAACACAGCACCTTTAAAATATAAAAGTTTTGTTTGTACTGATCGGTAAGCACAAAATTGATGCCTAATCGCATGCGTATCATATGGATTGTACTGTAGAGATCTGTACGGGCAAGAATTTTCTGTCCACGCCCGTAGGCCTGTCTTGGGCGTTTGTTAGTGCCCGTCCGTAGATTTTTTCTGCTGCCCGTACCCGTGGAAAAAAAAGTTTTTTCTTTTTGATATGCCACAGGTTTTTACTCTCTATATGAAGACCAATTTCTCGTCCACGCCTCTGTATTACGTTGCTCTTTCCTATGGCTTGCCTCACTATGTGTATTTCATTTGCAAACAATATCTTTTTTATTGTAAGAAAAACTTTTCAAAAATCCATGCCCGCCGAAAAGAGCGGTTGGCCGTCCGTGGTTTTTTGGATCCTGTCTGTCTCCGTGGGCATTATGGGCATGAAAATTCCCGTATCCGTACAGATCTCTACTGTACTGACCTTATCACCAGTGGAGAGCCATGTAAAAAGTGCGGCAGGAAACTTTAGAACACTTTTAACCTTAACTCATTCAGACCGGTATATATATATATATATATTTAGAACACATGTTTGATAAAGTCAAGACGTTCAGTTATGTGTGCCAAATAATGATAAATACTTTAATCAGTCAGTTGTTCTGACTAAATATTTAGTCATTTCGCTGAATTAAACAGCTTTTTGTAATGAAAAACAATTTTAAAATGAAGAAAAAGTGCTTTTATACTACACTGTTCTATTGTTTGCATCGATTCTACCTAGAGCTGTGGTTTAATAACTAATAAATGGATTGATCGTCACGTTCGAAGATTGTAAACCGCAGGAGACAGCTACTCGAAATCGAGAAGTCTTGACAACACTCTACACTGGTAACCGCAAAGAGGTGTACTCTTTTTCATCCAAATAAGCAGATCGTGCCCAATTATCTTGTTTTTTTTCAAACATTACTCAAAAAAGAGTTGTCTGCCTTCTGTTTTGAAATAGTTGGTAGAATTTTTGGTTCGATAAATGCTTCTTGGTAATCTGTGAAACTGATACAGTAATAGAACTACACTCTGATCATCTTATATTAAAAACATCAAGAAGATCACCTTAGAAGAAAAATTCAGGTCTTCGTGAGTTAATAGAAACGTCCTATACACTGGTGACGGATTATAGTTTTGAACATCGATGTTATTCTCTTTTCTTCTCGTGTCAAATGACAACAATTTTATTCATTTAGTCACGTCTCTTTTATATAACCCTGCTGAAATGATGATGACAAAAAAAAACACGAATAAGAGAAGACAGAAAAGAAAAAGATGAGACTTTTACCTTTCTTGTTTATTGACTGATAATGTACTGGGTCTGTTTTTTCTTTCTACCGTAATAGTATGGGTACAGATATAAACTTGATGGACTTGACTCATTCAATAATTGTTCGCTTTCTTTTTAACCATTTTATCGATTCATTTTACCTCTAATAAGATAATTTTGTTACGCCCTTTATTGTGCATGTGATAAAAAGCTCGATAGTGTAATTAATATTACCGATATCCAAAAAATTTCTTTTTCCTTGTTTAGATGTCAGTGACTGATAATGGTGTTGGATCGTTGGTACAACATACAGCCGACCTTGTTGAAGTGGCTCTAAATGATCGAAAATTCGATCGAAAATATTATCAATATCTTCCATATCCTGACAATGATTTTCAAGAGTTAAATAGTTCAAATGGTATAAATATTCTCATTCTTTCTTATCGTTGATATTTCTAAACAATTTATTGATTTTTAAGCTACTGATTGTTTTCCATTGTCTCATATTTATGAGCGCAATGCTCAAGTGTTTGTACCTAACCAACCGGTAGTAGTCAAATCAATTTTGGCTGAAAAGAACGGTGATGGTTATCGAAAATTTCGAAATTCATATTTGTATGTCTTCTCGTTTATCTAACGAAATATCTTGATCTATCTCATTCATCTCTATAGATATTGTATCATTGTTCAACATTGTAAATATGAATGGACGATTAATAAACGTTACAATGATTTTTATACTTTACATAAATGTTTATTGAACTATATTAAATCTAAAACAAAAGAACCAATTGATGCTCTAGAAAAGTTCGTATATTTTAGTCTATTCTTGATTCACAGTTTATCGTAATCATCATTTATATAAATGTATAGAGTGCAACTCAATGATCAACATGGATCATATTTTCCAATAAAAAGTGATTATCGTTTAACATTTACAATCAGCAATAGCAACAGTCAGTGGATAAAAGAACGCTGTGTAAGCACTGTTTCTCCTATCGATGCAAACTGCTTATGTATTTGATTTTAGGAAATGCTGGTAGAATATCTAAATAGACTACTAAAACATCCGAAATTTCGTCAACATCCAGCTGTGGTAAGTAGATGATAGATAGATAGAATATCCTTTACCGAATATCGGTGTCAGGTGAAGGTACAAGAAAAATGGCTAATAAAAAAATGGATGTGTTGTCCAGGCCTAAGGTCACTCGTAGAGTGAAGAATTTTTGAACGCATTCTGAGAATTCAAAAAGTGTTCGAAATCTGGTCCACTTGTATAAAATCGTCGTAAAATGTGAGATGCAGTAATGTAATATCGGCTTGCCATCTTCGGACCACAAGCGGATCTGATTTTGGAAGCAAGTGTCATTTTATTATTCGCATGTCGCATTCAGCTTTTTCATTGAGCAGACGTTTGATTTGTTGTTGTTGTAATAAGTACCATGTGAGTACCTACTTAGTTTGTTCTTACAAACTAAGTAGGCAGTTCAATGTTTCTTCCAAAATCGAATCGATTGGTATACAATAAGCTGAGATTCCACCAAGTCTTAATAGAGTTACGGTTGATGGACATTTTGTCGTATTATGTATCTTCGCCTCGAACGATATTGTTTTGAGATTTGAAATTTTTCCGATGATTGACGTCAACGATGTTGAAATAAGATGACAATGTGAAGTCGATTGAGCATATGCATCTCGAATTGTATTAAAAATAGATAAAAATGTTGGTGGAGAAAGTGTGTAGACTCATAGCCTTCTAGTTTCTTTTGAGTGAGGCTGCGGGAAAAAAATGTTTGTCAAAAAGTCATCCTTCCAATTGTTTATCTTTGAAGGCAGTTCGAAGTCTAAAGATCAAAAAGTCACTGGGTATATTCGATTTTACTGTCGCTGAACAACAAAAACAGGAAGATGTATGTCAGCGAAATGTAGTGAACGTTTTTTGTATAAAATTTGTTTAAGTGACATTTTAATTAGATAGGCAGAAAGTTTGAATTCTTTGCTACAAATTTCTATAGACTCTAATACAAATTCATTTGAATATTAGTTCTAAAATAATAGTTTTTCTGTACATGAGAAGGTCAAATCTTTTTGGCCTTTTCAATTATCTGAGTCATTTTCTCTAGAACGACAAGTAAAAATAACGCTATCGTTTCATAGTTGTATATCTATTATTTAAAAACATTATCAAAATCCATTGGATAAAATAGATTTTGTGAAATATTAAGTGAACCACTGTACAATGGTTCTGCAAATCACTCACATATTTTCTTATTGAATTATTGAAATTCTTGATTTTTGTATGTTTAGCATCAATTTTTTGAAGTTACCTATCTCTCATTTGTTTATGATCTCGGCATAAGTTTAAAAGAAAACTATTTAATTAAACATTCATCTCAATCACAACAGAATCGTTATATTACAACATTTTTCAAAAATCTATGTCGGTCATATCGTGATCTTAAGTACGATGAATTTTTTCTTCTTATTTTTCTCCTCTATTTTATACTATTTATTTTTATAGATGGTTTATTGTTAAATCTACATATTTGTTATATCTTCGTTCAAATGAAATACGTTTTCCAATGCTAATTGATAGTGGATTTCAAATTCAACCAAAATTTCATAATAAGTTAAGAATAAAAAATTTACAACATAAAATAACAATAAAATTTAAATCAGTCGATAAATATCAACAATGGTACGAAGTATTACAAACATTATTAGAACGAAATTCATTAACATTGGCATCAAAACAGAATCGATTTAATTCATTTGCACCAATAAGAGAAAAACAATTTGGTTCATGGTTTGTATTTTATACTGTACATTGAATAAAAATAATCTATTTATTAATTGTTGATTTAAAGGTTTATTAATGGTAAAGATTATATGGAATCTTTAACACAAGCAATTTTAAATGCAAAAGAAGAAATTTTTATTGCCAATTGGTGGTTAACACCAGAAATTATGCTTGTACGACCAACAAATGATAAATCATTTCGATTAGATTATTTACTTGGACGTAAAGCTGTACGTATTTTATTATTCTTATTCTATTGAATTTTTTTTTTGTATTTTTTTATATATTTTTTTAGGATGAAGGTGTACGTGTTTATGTTCTAATTTATAAAGATTTTCCATTAGCTATGGGACAAAATAGTTTACATTCAAAACGTGGTTTAATTAAACGAAATCGACATAATATCAAAGTTATACGTCATCCAAATCATTATCCAACAAGTGGTGGTCCTTTACTTTGGTCACATCATGAAAAATTAGTTGTTATTGATCAAAAAATTGCCTATGTTTCTGGAATAGATCTTTGTTTTGGACGATGGGATGATCACGAAATGAGGTATGAATAGAACAGTGTTTCTTTTTCGTCTTTTCTTCTAAACTTTATCTTATTTTTATTTATTTTCTTAACGTAGATTAGTCGATCTTGGTTCACAGAATCAAACAAAGTTAAAACTACCAGATGAAATTCAATCGGATTTAATTGAAAGTGGTGGAAGAGAAACAGTTGAAGCTGGAAGAAAAGTCGCTACAGAAATGGCTGAAAACAGTGGTAATCGTTTTAGAACGGTACATAGAATTGATTTAGATCGACAAAAATTTTTGTATGACCTTGTATTGTATTTGTCTAGGGCACATCAGAAATGCAATCGACAAAAGGAGCTAAAGAAAAAGGACATGTTGATATTGCTGTTCGACCACGAAAAAGTAAGTTTTTATTGTACATAAAAGTTCATCAATTTAATTAATTCATAAGTGTTCATAGAATCAAATGTTAATGGGGTAAACAATTTAGAGTATGCGCTCTATTTCTCCTTTTTGCTCTATTATTTCAATGACTGCTGTTATTGTTACAAGTTTAGTTGCCGTTTTTGCATTTATTCTCGAATTTATGAATCTCTGTCATCTGATTTATCAGAAACAACCTGATAATTTATTAGAAAAATAGAACACATATTTTTCAATTTATTTTTTCTTTATTTAGACGTAGCTAAGGAATTACTGGTACGTACAGAATAATTTAAATTAAATGTTTTATATACTTTTGTTTTCTTATTTTAAAACAGGTATCATCTGATTCTGAAGTGGATGACGAAGAAGAAGAAAATGAACAAGAATCACCGATAACAAGTGATAATCCTCAACAACAACTTTATTATATTGGAAAAGATTATGCTAATCTGTATGAAAAAGGTGTTACAAAGCCAACTCAATATGCTGAAGGTACAAGACAATTTGTTTTTGTTTATTTTATTGTTACAACAAACTAAAATCATGTTACCGATATTTTTAGATGCAATTGATCGTAAAGTTGTACCACGAATGCCATGGCATGACGAAGGTATTGTTGTATTTGGTCATGTAGCACATGATGTAGCACGACATTTTATTCAACGTTGGAATATACACAAAGTAATGAAAATAAGAAAAACAAAAACAATGATTAATAAACATTATTTAATTTATTTTTAGTATGAAAAATATCCAGAAAATCAAAAATATCCATTCCTATTGCCCACCGTATACAACGATGATGATAATGATTATAATGATGAAAATAATTGGAAAGATTTACTTAACACAAAACCATTTCAAATTGATGCACAAGTAATTTTTTAGATTTAAAAAGATTATTTTATCACATACTTTTTATCAATCTATCTCTTTATATTTTTAAAAGTGTGTACGTAGTGTTGGACCATGGTCATGTCGTACAAAAACAATTGAAACATCCGTTGCAAATGCTTATATAAAATTAATTGATACAGCAAAACATTTTATTTACATGGAAGTATGTGTAAATCATTAGTCATTCTAATCTTATTCGATTTTTTATAAAATATTTTTTTTTCTTTTTATTAGAATCAATTTTTTATTTCAATATTTAATGATTCACACGTTCGTAATCAAATATATGAAGCATTATATTTACGAATTATGCGTGCACATACGTTTGTATTCTTTCATCTGTTATATTTAGAGAATTGACTAGAGAAAATATGAAAAAATATTTATTGTTTTTTTTTGTAGAGCAAATGAAAAATTTCGTATTTATATTGTTTTACCATTGTTACCCGGATTTGATAATATTAAATCTGTTCAAGCTGTTTTATATTACATTGCTCGATCAATAACGAAGGGTGATGGTTCATTGTATCAACGATTAGAAAAACAAGGTAATTATGTCGACTGATATTATATATTTTTGCTGGGAAGTTTGATTTTATTTTTACAAAATGTGTGCCTCATAATCTAGAGAAGTACGCTACGTAGGAAACTACTGAAAACGGGAGGATAATCTCCCGACATCGGAAATTGATCAATGCACATTCTTTTTTCAAACATAAGTCCAAATTCGACGCCATAAGCTACACAAGTGGAAAAAAAAATGTGTTTAAAAGTTTTTTTAAGTTCATTAGCACCGCTTGTCTGGCGCCATTTGTTCTTAAGAAGAAAAAGAATTCTTTCTCATTTCTGTTTCTCTATTCTTCCTATTTCGTTCATTCTCTCTAATTATCTCTTTTAATCGCTGAATTGAATATATTTTGACTAAAGATGTTATATAATCGAGAAACAGTAAACAAACAAAAAAGAAATTTTCGCTTACATAAGAGACACTGTTACCGATAGTGAGAGAGAAAAAATGAATCATAATACAGTGAGAGAAAAAGAGGAAGAATATCAATAATCCTTATAAGCCACAATAATAGTAGGAAGAGCAAGAACATACTAAAAATAATTTACATGCTTTTTAAGAATCATTTGAAACACATTTAAATTGGCCATGTGTGCTGGTGAGGGAGGAAGACCATTCCACTACTTAGAAGTAAGGAGTAAGAAAGAAGAAGAAGATGAAGCTTTTGTGGAAAAATGTGTAATAATGGATGTCCAAAATGTGTCGATTTTCGATTATGAGAAGGTCTAATGAGATTAAGATGTGAAAGAGGACTTGTGCTATAGAAAATTTATTGTAAATGAACGAGTTTGAAATAGAATCTTCGATTTTCGAGACAATAAAGTTTTAATTTGGAATGTAGTGCTATCGGATCGATCGTGTAGTCTTTCATTATCACTCTAGCAGGTAAATGCTGCACGTCATCCAGAATAGACAGATGTGATCTAAATGAACTGTCATAAAGAATACAAGCATATTCAAGAACCAGTCTGACACATACTTTGTAAAGATGAAGACGGAGATGTAGTGATGCGGTGCCGAATACTCTAAGCTGAAATAGAAAATCATAGTGAAAGCGATGCAATGGAAATCTGCTGATTAAATTGATATCTTTTGGCAGTTATCAGTAGAGACAGAGTCTGTCGACATCGCAACTTGTGCGTAGCACAATTGTTCTCAAGTTCTAATTTTCTTTTTTTAAATGATTTTATATCATTAAATAAGTTTGACTATTTTAGGTGTTAATCATCAAGATTATATTAGTTTTTATGGTATGCGTAATCACAGTGTTCTAATGGGAAAATTAGTAACTGAAATTATTTATGTTCATTCAAAATTGATGATTGTTGATGATCGTTATTGTATTTGTGGTAGTGCCAATATAAATGATCGTTCACTATTAGGACACCGTGACAGTGAATTATGTATTGTTATTAAAGATGTTGAATATGAACAGTCTGATAAACAAATATTTGAAAGTGGAAAATTTTGTTCAAGTTGGAGAAAAAAATTATTTAGGTGAGAATTTATAATTGAAAGATGAGATGACAAATTAACGTCTCACATGTTTTAGTCTACTATTAGGTTTAACAGACCAAATGGCTGAAAATGTTGATTTAACAGATCCATCGTCTGATGAACTTTATCATTATATCAAAGATACAGCACATAAAAATACATTAATCTATGAAGAAGTAATTATTGTTATTGTTTTCTTTCTTTTTTTACTATTTTACTCTATTGTATTTCTATGTTTTTATTTATATTTGTAGGTTTTTGCTGCTATGCCAAGTGATCGTATAAGAAAATTTGATCAAATTGCATCATACACAGAAGTACCACTATTAAAACATACAGATCCATATCGAGTAAATTGATTATTGTTTGAAAAATGTTACTGAATATTTTTATATTTTTATTATTTATTTATAGGCACAAGAAGAATTGAAAAATGTACGTGGTTTTATTGTTGATTATCCAATTTATTTTCTTCATGAAGAAGAATATTTTCCTGGCCTAGATAGTACTGAAGGTTTGTTTTTTTTATTTAAATTTATTATTTATATATTTTCTTCTGATTTTTAATAAATTTAGGTTTCGCACCGATATCAATGTGGGTGTAAAAAGAATGTTATTTATTTTTTTTCCAATATTTATTGTTAATGATATATGTTTTTCTCTTTTTTTTTTATCATAAAGCAGTGCATTATAATAGTAAAAACATCGTAAATGTGATGTTTTATAATGTTATGTATGTAAAAAAACGGTTTTATATTGTAATTTTTATCAAAATGATTAAAGTTGCAATATTTTTTAAATTTTTATTTATTTTTTCTTTCCATGTTTTTTTTCGTGATACAACTATTTTGTGATATTTTTTATTTGATCATCAATTACGAATGGTGTTACGATATACATTGTTTGTAAATATCACGAATTACATCTACATGAAATGATGAAACGATTATTTATTATTTTTAACATGTTTATTATTGTTATTTTTAACTATTTGGAATAGAACTTAAATACTCATTAAATCATTTACTATAAATGTAGTAATGATTATTATTGTTATGTTATATTATCATTTTTTCAACGTAGAAATAAGATATTTGGATAAAAATGCTAATAGTTGATTAGATGAACGATAACAAATTATGTTTTATTTATATAGATTCTAATCACTGTTCGTAGCCGATGTTGAAGACGAAATTTCTCATCAAATCAACGTACATTATAAATGAAACAATTATTGGTTTGTCATGATAAAACTTAGTTTACCGAGGTGAATGTACCGCTACTACGACAAATTCTAATATCTTCGTTTGATACTTAACAGTTTTCTGATCCATGATAAAAAAGAATTGATTAATATAAATTTTATAGAACGCGAAAAATTATACGAAGTAAATTGTACGTCGAGGAACTGGTGAATAAAAACAAAAAATAATGATTATAAAATTGAAATTTATCAATACCGAGATGATATAATCCGATCTCGTTTTCAAAGTCGTCATTGTAACTCTTAAGAAATTCATTTGGAATTCATGGATATTAAATTTTAAGATGGTATTTCATCTGTACGACCCAATAATATAAATTTGGTTCATATTCTTACATGGAAACTCTTTGTGTCGATTCGCTGTTATTCATCAAGTCTACATATATCTGTCGAGCAATTCCAGGTTTTAGATGGCAGTTAACAGAAATGTCTGCCGTAAATTTTGTATGATAGACTTACGCATATAGTCTCTTTTTGCTTGTCTTAATAATGTAAGAAACTTTTTTCTCGATGAAAATTGTTTACGTTTTCATGTATTCACAAACTTAGCTGTCTATCACACACATACAGACAGTGTTCATGCAACCTTACATGAGGTTCTAACAAGCTGGACTCTAGGAACCTATATGGTATGGGTGTCACTTTATACATATTTTATAATAAAATATTGAATTCATGTATGCTAGAGGATCCAGTGGCGTATTCCGTTTTATGCGTGTGTAGGAGACTATCGCATCATTTCTGGCATTTCAGTTCAGTTCAGTTCAGTTCAGTTTATTCTGGCATAGCCATGGATACACGAAAAAAAACATTGCTAGTGCAAAAGTTTGTAACAAAATAAAAATTGCGTTTGATTAAGAATCTAGGCAGATAACTTTGTCAACATGTCCATAGAGGAAGAAGAGATGATACAAACAAAATGGTAAAGAGGAGAACAAAAGAGC